TTTTATAACCAATTATCCAGTTTGAAAGATTGCACTCCAAACTAGAAACTTCCTCATGGGCAGGGGGCGGGGCTTTGGCTCACACTGGGGGGGACGTGGCCGACCGCCGTGGTGAGTGTACGTGGGGTTTGGGGTCTGAACACAAGACAAATGTGGCTGAACAAATAGAAACCAGGAGTTACACTGAACCAGTAGGGGGGGGGGGGGGGGGGGGGACAGGTCGGCAGCCGTTGATGTGATATTTGGCCATGCGGAGGAGAGCCAGGCCCAGCAGTTAGGGAAGCTGAGTGAACAGTAAAAGCAGCTCTTAGGGGAGGAAGCACGGCAGGACTTGGCTGGAATGCATTGGCTGAAACATCGCACTATGAGTTTAGTGGGGAGATGCAGAGAGGCAGAGACGTGGAGAGGCAGAGACGTGGAGAGGCAGATACATGGAGAGGCAGAGACGTGGAGAGGCAGAGACACGGAGAGGCAGAGACGTGGAGAGGCAGAGACACGGAGAGGCAGAGACGTGGAGAGGCAGAGACATGGAGAGGTAGATACATGGAGAGGCAGAGATGCGGCGAGGCAGAGACGTGGAGAGGCAGAGACGTGGAGATGCAGAGATGTGGAGAGGCAGACACATGGAGAGGCAGAGACATGAACAGGCAGAGTTGTGGATAGGCAGAGACATGGAGAGGCAGAGACATGACGAGGCAGATATGCGGAGAGGCAGATACATGGAGAGGCAGAGACGTGGAGAGGCAGACACATGGAGAGGCAGAGATGCAGAGAGGCAGAGACATGGAGAGGCAGAGACGTGGAGAGGCAGAGATGTGGAGAGGCAGACACATGGAGAGGCAGAGACATGAACAGGCAGAGTTGTGGATAGGCAGAGACATGGAGAGGCAGAGACATGACGAGGCAGATATGCGGAGAGGCAGATACATGGAGAGGCAGAGACGTGGAGAGGCAGACACATGGAGAGGCAGAGATGCAGAGAGGCAGAGACATGGAGAGGCATATATGCAGAGTCTTTACACATATGTGGCGCCTTCGTTTCTCTGCTCTTTAGGGTTTTATGGCAAAAAAAACCAAAAGAAAAATGTTTCCTTCAATAAAGATACAGGCTTTGATTAGAAACAGACTGCAGGAGCTGATTTAGTGTAAGTAACACAGGGTGGGGAGCATGTTTACAGCAGGATCTGAGCGGGGGGCTCTGTATATGAAGGCTGCTTCACCCTCTGCCGTGTTGCAATGGCTGCTGGGAGAAGATGGTCAGAGGAAGAGCTTCTGGGAGGGAGCTGCTGTTCGCTGGAGAGTTTGGCCGGCGGCTGTACTTTATTTTGTGTGTGGAGGCTATTCAAGCTGAAGGCAGGAAATGAACGTGAGCTAACTGCACGCCTAAGCAGATTAAGGAGAGACGGCAAAGTCACGGTGGAGATTTCCGAAATGACGGCACCTCACAGATAAACAGCATGCATGAAGGGGAGCACCGAAGCTACAGCAAACATAAGGTTTCCCAGATTAGTTAAGCTGGGGCAGTGCATTACCCCCCCAGGTTTGGTAAGCTAAGGTAAGCCAGCCGCAAGCTGACAGCCACAGAGCAGCACATAAAATCACTTGTCAGGGCTGGGAGCTGGAAGGTGCAGTGTCAGTGTGATCACCGTCGCATCCTGGTGATCAGGGTGGCTGCTGGCAATTTCACTGCAGTTTTCAGGGTGCACTTTATAGCACAATTTCACTGCAGTTTTCAGGGTGCACTTTATAGCACAATTTCACTGCAGTTTTCAGGGTGCACTTTATACAGTCGAGTGTACGGTACAACCAGTCTGTCGAGTTCAGTGCGCTTCAGTCTGATACACGCCTATAATACCATAGTAGAGGATTACTACAAGCTGGTGGTCAAGGCTTGTCCACATGAGAGGGATGCTGGCCTCCAGCACAGAACTCAGTGCTCTCTCCAGTGGGGAGCGCGCTGTGTGGTTCAGCAGGCTAGGCCTCTGTGATGGGAAGGTCACCACTTTCCATCTCGTGCTCCCTCATCTCAGTCGCCACCTTGACCCTTAACCCCCCCGAAGAGTGCTGCCCAGATAGCAGCCCTTGTGCTCAGAGCCCAGGCTTCGCTTTTACCTCTATACATGTGTCTCTTTTAAATGACGGGGGGCAAGATGGCAGATGTGAAAAAACTCATTACAATGTACCTGCACATATGGCACATAAAGAAAGATTTTATTTCATAAACCCCCAGGCCAATCACAGATGAAGGACCTTCCATACAAATGTTCCCAAATCCATTCTTACCATGGGGACCATGAGCCGGAATCTTTAAAATAAAAAATTTTTAAACAAATAATCACTTATTATTATTGTCGACCTTTAACGGGGCTGTTAACCTGCCCTGCTGTGCACTGGAGTGCAGTGATCCGCAGGCTTTGATGTGACATCTTCAGCCTCCCAGACGTTCACGCAGATGCCTGAGACAGCTGAAGATCATCATCTGCACCGGAGCTGCTCCGTTTCTGAGTGTTGTGACACGAGATATTGAACTTCCTCACACGTGCAATCTTTGGTCGACGTGGCGCAGGCCAGCTACACGCTGTACCTCGAGAACATCGCTGGAAGCGGGACAACTTTCACTCCAGGGTGATATGTCTCTACTAAACAGGAGTAGCCCATTACTACCAGTAAGCCGTGCTTACAGGAACCCATGACTAATGGCCTAAGTACATCTTTGACAGCCTCGCCGTTTCTGTCCATCTGTTCTGATTTAGTGATATGCTATTTGTTTAGCTTCCCTGCCACTGAAAGATACACTCAGATGCTTCCGCTAATGCAGCCTGACTGCAGTGAAGCTGCATTTGTGGGACGTTCGTCTGAAACGAGGCTTGAGTGGGCCTGACTGAAACGCGGATAAGATGGACTACGGGGGGGCAGATAAAGCGAGTGTCCGTTACCCTGCTTCACGGTCCCTCGCGATCAACAACGGTGTTTACTGTACCACCACTCAAACCACGCATTTGCATGGGGCCCTGAGGTTTGGGGCCCCCTATTGCCAATAAACAGGAACTACACTGAAGGGGGGGAAGGAACATTTTTGATGCCACGTTAAATGAAGCTGTTAGATTCCCGTAAAACAAAACTTCCCTGAAAATTCTGGTATCTTTGCCCCCCCCCCCGCCCCCCCCGCCCATCCTGTCCTGACCAGCCATCTCAGGGATGTGTGCAACACACACTGAGGTTGCATCTGTCATACTTTTGCTCCCTATTCTAAACCCAGATGTTAAGGTTTATCAGCATTACTGCATTCGAAGCAGTCTGGCTGAGCAGACCAGGTACCTGAAAGTTTCACCAGATTATCTCCATGAAGTCCGCTAAGTCTTTCAATCCCGGTCTCGTAACGAACGCCTTGAGTACTGTTTGTCCAAATGTTTATTTTGTGACTTTGTGCATCCCTCACCCCCCCCTAAAGCTCGCCTTCCTTTCTTAAGCTTAGCTGTCCAAAATTCATGGAATCACACATCAAGAGCGCTCCAGGAAGACGGCCTTGGCTCAGGACTGTTCTGCTAAGATTAAAATACTTTCTCCCCGTATAAACATGCTTTGCTTTAAGTGGTTAAAAGTCTGACCTCTGGACATTTGCACATTCTTTTCATTTTCGGAGCCCCGTGTTTTCGCTGGCTCTCTCCCAAGCATAGCACCTGTACGCTGCCTTAACAATAAATTGTAGTAATAAAACACGTTCTCCTTTTGTTTGACTTGGACTTCGTGGTACACAGAATTGCAAATATGTCTGTCCCGTGATCTTCGTGACGAGCAACACCAGTCTAAATTCAATTAACGACTAAGAGATTGGAACGGAACGTCGGTGTGTATTTGACGGCCTGCAAAAAAACCAAAAATGCAACACGAGCTTGTGTTAGGGATAAAACAAGCCGAAGTAGGACTTGGCAAATAGGTTTGTTTAAGCAGCGGTGACTAGATGCGATCCACCTTGAGCTCGTTCGCTCGTCCGGCAAAATAATGGACAGCATGTTTCTAATGGAAACAATGGACATTCCTCTAAGTTGTTGCTGTTGGATGATGAAGGCATTCCTGCTACGTCGAGCTCCGGTTCCGGAGATACGCACGGCAGCTTTTCGGCACCTCATCAGCCACCCCCCCATGTCTCCCCACCACAGAAGACATCTGCTGAGTATGAATGGGAGTGTTTGAGGGTGTGGATTTTAAACTGTAAGCGAGGCCCCACCCCCTGTATCTGTACCGTTTAGGCTTTCAGTCACACTGGCAGTGTTTGTTTGCAGGGACAGTGTTAGAGTTGTTTTCAGTGTCAGTCCAGCCACTTCTGGAGATGACATGGGGGGGGGGGGCTATTACAGAACTGCTTTACTCCAAGTTAATTAAGCGACCCCAATTATGGGAGTCTGCCCACACAGGCAGTGCGTGTCTGTAAGGTGGCGGCTGAGATTGGACTCTGTGTTTGTCATATTACAATGAGAAATGGGCTGTGTCAGTATGTATGTTTTTTGTCAATCTGCGGTTTTCGGACTGAACCGAATGTAATTTAAAAAAGACCACATACTTTAATACTGAGTAACCCAGAGTGGTCCATTTGTGCGATCAGTAAAAACAAAATTAATTTTGCTGATGCACTCAAAGGTGCCACTGGGCCCCATGAAAGTAGATCATATTGGGCCCCAAACCCCGACCAATCCAATTACGTTAAAAACTTTTCTACTAACCCCCCTGGTTATACTTCCTTGGTTATACTATTGATTTACTAGATTTTTATTATACCAAAAGCATTCTTTAAGAAATACATACATTTGCTATTCTTTAATACCTGATTTTACATATTTATTCCTGTTCATTTGAGTGGCGGCTTCACCCAGTGAGCAAGCCAAATACAGGAACGCGTTGTGACAACCTCCTGTTTACAGTCGGACACAATAAAGCGCTGCACCCCATCATCTATTTCTATAGCGTTTGTTGTCGGTCGGACTTATTTCTTTGTACACCGCCTTCGGCTGCTGTCACCGGGCTACTGGTTACCTCAAGCAGGCGAGACGTCAGTGTTGTTTTGAATACTGGAGTCGTATTGGCCGTAAGTAAGTGGCGACAGTGTCATTTCTCATTAAATCAAATATACCTGCAGAGCTCATTTCTCCGTCAGTCAAAAGTAGCCGGCCGGCATTCTCTGTGAATGAATTAAGTGGATCAGCTCCCAACTGGTGCTGTATCTGCACATTAGACATATATCCGAGGTAGGCTATCGTGCCTTTCGTGACCTGTGATACGAAACGATTGAAAAACGCCCTTCCACTGATGCTATCTAAAGACCCCGAGTAGCTCCAATATTATGGGGTGAGTCGGTGTTAATACATTTATCTCCTGGGTGGCTGACGGACTTTGTCCTGCCACGTCCCGGGATCGTTCAGGGAGCCAACATCGATCTCTTTTTAAAACACCTCTATTTAAAAACCACCCCACGTGTTTTGAAAAAAACTTTATTTTTACCTGTTTATTTCTACACATGGATGCTTTACTGGAGCATTTCAGTCAAAGGGGTCGTCAGTGGTACAACAGCAAGACACCTGGTGGGATCTTCCCCTCGAATCCGTGTTCCCGCGTCTCTAACCCTGTCTCACAAAACAGTGAAAGAAATTCATCCAGATTCATCTTATGTGTCCACCATTCAAAATAAAAATTACGTCTCTTGTTATCCAATATATACTTATAATACAGTTAGAGTGAGCTGAATTTGGAAATTATTTTAAAGGGTAGTATGATGACATTGTTTAGTGACCAAAACAATGTAATTTCTAGTTGGGTGCTTCACCAGGTTATCTCAGGTCAATTCTCAGCTGCCCCCCCTCCCTTGTCTACACTGCCCTCTGAAACAGAGTCTTCTCTAAAAGTTTTGGTAACTTGTCTACTTATCACTGCACCTTAACCAGAACAACCCGATTTTGACTTTATCCTGACTCATCGCCACATCTTGGTTCGGTAAAATCTGTAAGGCTTATGAGCATTATAGAGTGAACATTGTAATACCTGCTTAACACCCCCACAATAATCTCCGTGTTGAAATGAAGGCCTGTCATTGGTATGGACATGGGGGGTGTGACCTGCGCTAAGGCTCCCATGATTAAACTCCTTCCCTGAGTTTCTCAGTGGGGGGAGAGTCATCAGTTTAGCTTTTGTGGCATTGCAGGATCCTAACCCACTTCAATAAAAGCCCCTGTTTTATCGTTTCGAGGAAACCCTGTCACACGTAAAGCTTTTATTACGGCCGCACTCTGGGAACGGATGTGTGGAGCCGCACTGCAGCTTTTATTGCCCCCAGATTCACTGCGTGCCCCCTGCTGAAGATTAAAATCCATGTCCTTCGCTGCAGTACCCCTCAGGCACGGCCCGGGCTCGGGGGGGCCGTCTGTGGGCAGCGCAGTCCCTGGTCGCATCGCTCTGCATTTCCGCCGTGCCGCTATTCATCGGCAGGAGAGAGGCTGATGCCCCCCCTCCCCCCACCCCCGGGCTAATGGAGAAAGACGCCCCCCCACTGTGAACTGCATTCTTCTGGGTCACAATAATATGCCCAGCAGGTCTGGCCCATTGTCAGGCTGTATTAAAGCCTTCCATCCCCCCCCCCCCCTTTTGGTTACCGGTGGCTTTTCTGAAGTTAACATCCTCTCCGAAAGGAATTCTCCAAGGCTGACCTTTAAAACGCCTTTTTTTTTAGCTGGGCACGTGAAGAGCCACTGCTATTGTGCGCTTTTTCATTTTCAGCGTGCTGCCCTCATATTGCCCCCCCCCAGCCGCCTGTCACTGCCTACCAGCCTTTAATGTTGAGTTTCTCTCTGCTTGACCCTCCCTCACCCCCAGTTACTGAGCTGAATGTGAGTCCATTACGAGGTGTAGATGTGGTTCTGGTGCTGGAAGTGTCTAGGAAATACTGTGATAGGGCTGGTTCCAGGTGCTGGGCCCTGCTGGCTTATCCTGAGGCTGGGACTTAATCCTGGCCTTGAACTCCGCATCCTTCTTTGATTCCTGAGGCTCTTATGTTGATCATAATTAATGTTCTAATGCAGAAAGAGCCCCTAAGTGATGCCCCAGCCAAGGGGAGCCTCTGGCCCTCAGTGCTGTCAATGGTGGAGGACCAGACCTTTCCTTGCGTGATGAGCTCCAGACACCATGGTCCCACGGAACTGGTCCGGGCCCTGAGCGGGCCTTGCGCATCGTGTGACCCTCATCGTGTGCTGGGGTGTCTGTGTTTTCTGCAGGGATGGGGTCCCTGGGTGAAGATGGAGGGGGGCAGGTGTGCGACGGGGTCTTGGAACACCTGTACTGCTGTGGGGCTGCTACGGAGGTGCTCAAGTTTGGGCAGAGAGAGCTGGGTCCCCCTGGAGGGCGACGCGGCAGCCCCCCGCTGCTCTTCCTCATCATTCCAGGTAGGCTGTCCCCCCTCCCTGTCATGTGACCGTCGCTGTGCTGCTGAGCCTGACCAAGTCAAGGGTCCATCCAAGGGTAATGTCTTACTTAGATATGTGGGCCACCTAAGGGGAGAGCATTTGAACCCGAGACTCAAAGGAGCCTCGAACTGGACATCACCTGCATGCGGTAAAGACAACCAGGCTGCATTTTAACTGGCTGTCTCGGTTAAGATGAGGTCTCCAGCAATACGTGCCTCGTCTAATCGCGTCATCCGCTCAGTCTGGGTCCCGCCAGGACGGGTTTCTGAGATGCAGCATGGCCTTCGCACATCGCTTTGTTTCATTGCTTAGCAACGAGAAACCCAAGTGCGGCAGGTCCTCGGGGCGCCGGGCCGCAGGTGGAACGGGAGCGACACCGTACGCCTGTGAGTACGGAACCCTCCAGGGCTCCCCCAGCTCCCTGATGAACAGAGGGGTTGAACAGGGGTTTGCCTTGATCTTATGGAAAAATCGAACTGACCTTAAACAGATGGTGGAAAGTCGTCTGATCACGCAGGCCCTTCAGCCAGGAAAACGAGGAGTAAGTTCTTTGAGTGATCAGATCGTAACGGGTCTTGGTGGTTCTTTACACTTATATTTACCGCTGTCCACTTGGGATCTGATCACCCAGATTTATTTTAAAACCAAGCATATACAGGGGTAAAAATGTAATGGTCAGAATGGTTTTTAATTTAGCACAGATCTTTCATATCTATAAGGAACCACACAATGGCTACATTAGCTCACCCTGTGGTTTTTGCTTTTGTTTTACAGTATAGTGTTACTTTATTAATCCTCGTGGGGAAATTACTTTGGCCCATTTACTTTGCCCCATCCTGCTCTTCATAAAAGCGAGAGCAAGCTTGGGGGAGTCACAGTAAAGGGGCGGCCTCCTTGCGGTGCCCAGAGAGCTGGGGGTTATGGGCCAAATCTGCTGAGGTCAGGATATTGTTAAAAAAATATCTCACATATTTCTTAGCCACATGAAACGTTCTAGACAAGACATTATGTAAAGATTTAGTTTTGTTATTATGATCACCTTAAAGATGACTCAGAGGAAGAGAAGAAAACTTAACTGGCCAAACACATAAATCTATCACGCCCAACCAGTACTGTAGGGGGCGCCACTGATGGTGGATCGAGCCAGGTGTGTAAGATCTTGACACCACCTGGATTGGCAGATTTATTCAGTGGGTGCTTGTCGTGGACAGCACCCACTCCTTGAAGACTGGTGTATCTTCTCTCTCTCTTTTTTAAGTGACGAGGTCTTAAGTAATTAAATGTTAATTGCAAAAACATGTCTCCATTTCCCTTCTTCCATTCTAACGGCTAGCTTAGAGGAGCTGAGCTCTCTGGGATGGTCCTCCGCTGTAATTCTCCCATTGCTCCTCCTTGGTGTGATTTATTCCCCTTCATCTTGGCATGCTTACACTGTTGAAGTAACGCATTGCTCTTGGCTCGGACTGGCAGTGCAGCCCCACGATCACGCTGTAAACCCGTAACCTGGGAGCTGGCCATGCTGCGTGCCTCATGACATCATGTTCAGCGTTGCTCTGCGCTAAACCTCCCCTGTCAGGTTCCATGGAGGTGAATCAGCCGTGCCGCAATGCACACTCCCGCAGCTCCTCTCCGGGGCATTGTCCCAACTTCAGTTTTGTGTCAACATAGATGGGGAAAAATATCAGTGTAATTGCACTTTGCCAACAGTAGATGTCATTGTGGTTAATGGTCTGTACCACTTTGACTTCCAGTTAAAGGAAATCTATGCTACAGCTGTCCCCACGGGCCCCTGCTGGCCCCTCACTGAGCCTCTTTGGAGGCAACGGGTTGGTGCAGGAGGAGGTGGCAGTGGTGCAGGATGAGGATGTGGTGGTGGTACGGGAGAAGGCAGTGGTGCGGGATGAGGATGTGGTGGTGGTACGGGAGAAGGCAGTGGTGCGGGATGAGGAGTACATGCCTGATCAAGCGGCGGTGTGGGAAGAGGAGGAGG